TACACCAGTACAGGAGGCTCTGAGGGCCGTTTACAACGTGAACCACCACAAGCCCTGACTCTTTCGCTGGGGCAAGTGTAGCAAAGCACCAGGGTGAGTGTGAGTGAGTTTGTTTCAGGCAGCTCTGGAGACTGACAGCTCCAAAATGAAGATACCCAGCCAATCCAGTCACCACTGAGGTGTGTTCTCACCTGAAGGAGTGAAGGGGAAGATGAAGGAGGAGAGGGAGGGATAGGAAGAGGAAGAGGAGGAGGAAAAAAAGGTAGCTCTCTGCTGCCTTTTCCACAAAGTCACTAATACTATCTCAAGGACACTAACTCTTGACCTCACCTAACTGATTACTTCTGAAGGTCCCCCTCAAACATCTATCAGGAATTAAAATCTCATCCTATGAATGGGGGTGGGGGGATGATGTTGATGCCCCTCTGTGTGCTCTGAATGTGTTTATTACCATTCATTAATAAAGAAGCTGCTTTGGCCTATGGCAGGGCAGAATATAGCTATGCTGGAAATCCAAACAAAGATACAGGGAGAAAGAAGGCAGAGTCAAGGAAAATGCCATCAGTTGCTAGAGTTTAAGCAAGATGTGAGGTAACAAGCCATGAGTCATGTGATAAAATATAAAATAGTAGAAATAGGTTCATTTAAAAGTAGGAGCTAGTTAGTAATAAGCCTGAGCCACTGGCCAAACTTTTATAATTAATATAAGCCTCTGAGTGTTTATTCGGGAACTGGCATGTAAATGAGAAACCCCTAGGTGCAGGGTGATGCATAATTGGTTTCTATAGTACACTCCTTACTCCCACATTATGTATGGTACAGCACACATCTGTCCCATGATTTCTGTCCTTGAGATGGAGGACTTGTGCCTGGGTAGGGTGAACCTGCAACAGCCATGCTACAGTGATGGAGGAAGGTCATTGGCTAATAAAGGAACTGCCTTGGCCCATTTTGATAGGCCATCCCTTAGGTGGGTGGAGTAGGCAGAACAGGACTCTGGGAGGAAGAGGAAGTGAGGGCAGAGACTTGACAGCTCTCCTCTAGGGAGCAGACGCCTGAGAGAGACGCCATGTCCCGCTCCCGGCATGAAGCTCCGACCCAGGATGGACTAGGCTAGAATCTTTCCGGTAAGACCGGTTCTCACAGATTATTAGAAATGGGTTGATCGGGATGTGAGAATTAGCCTGTAAGTGCTAGAGCTAAAGGGCCAAGCAGTGCTTAAAAGAATACAGTATCTGTGTAATTATTTTGGGGCATAAGCTAGCTGAGCAGGCGGCCGGGGTGCTGTGGACGAAGCCCCGCCGCCCCTTATTACTACACTACAGTCTTGTCTTTCCCTCCTTGGCCTGCATCCCTGGGCTCCCTCTGAAACATGGCAGTGCCCCAGCTAACTGACAGTCAACTGGGCAGTGCCCAGATAAACTAACAACCATCCTGCTCTTGTGACATGGGGCTCAGGTGACCCCTGGTATCTGCTGTCCATGGCTGGGAGCTGGCCTTTCTGTCCCTGTCCCTCTCATAAGCACAAGCCGTCAGGTATCCGAATGCGCTCTGGTTTTCATTTTTTGTCCAGGAGGGCTGCTATGTATTTGCCCTGTCCCCGCCCCTACCTTCAGAGGAGACCCTAAAGGCTGCAAGGTTGCTTCCCACCTCCACCCCCCACCCCCCCCACCCCCCGCTGCAGCAGGACCTGCCAGGGCTTCCAGCCACACATCCCAAGCATTATTCTCAGCAGAAGTCTGACCAGAATGGCCTGGCCTTGCTCATCGTAGATAAAGCAATTAAAATAAAGAAAACCCCTTTCTTCCTTAAGTAGATCTGGCCTTTAGAGCCATTGCCTCAGCACAGCCTGAGAAAGAAAATCTAGCCTGGGCCTCAAAGCTGAGGCAGCAGTGCCTGTGGTTTAGGGGGATCCACCCCCTCTCCAGACCTCATGCAGAATAGTGGGGCATTACCATTTGCCAACTATGAAAAATACAGTTTGGGTTTTCATAAACACCATTCCATCGTGCGTGTGGAAATCAGATCCTCGCAGGAGCTCTGTGAGACACACTTCTCCTCTGAGGTTGCGAAGGAGACAGTGGGCAGTGGGCAGGGCGGCACGGCCCTTGGGCTCTGCTTTCTGAGCTGCAGGGGCTGAGGTGGGTACTCAGGTATTTAGTAGACTGCCCAGACAAACGGTACATTCAGGGGACTCGAGACAAGTGCACAGCACAGAGCCACGATGCTGTCACCCACGCTCCCTCACTTCTGTCCGTGTCACTCCTTCCCCAAAGGAGAGGAGGACAAGAGAACAGAAGCCTACTTACAGTCAGGTTGCCTGTCTGTGCAGAAGTTCCTGGCAGAGGCTGTGTGTTGAGATCAAAGGTGGCATTGGTTGGGGACCAGTGAGCTTGTTAGCTCTGTGCTCTGATTGGTGCCATCTTTATCCACAGCTGTGGTGACAGCAGCAGCCACTGGGCCATGTGTCTCACAAGCCCTGTGTCTGCCTCCATCCCATCCATCACCATGATGATTTGATTTTCCTTATTCTGCTCAGATTCCCGAGGCATCTTCCTGCTGTTTAGCGAGAGCAATTACAGTTGCTCCAGTAAGAACACCTGAAAATTGGGGTGCAAGCTAGTGCAGTTTAGCCATGTCTGCTTGCCCATGGAGGGCCTCATGGGCAGCCTCTGGGCCCAGCCTGCCTACAGACAGCATGTGACCACCGGTTTTCATCTTTCAACAAGTGTTTGCTGGCCACTAGATGCTCTGCTCTAGGGCTGGGGGAGGGGCATACAAGGAGTGAAAACACAGTCTGAGGCAAAACTGAGGCAGTGGTGTATGTAGCAGGCTTTCTCGGACCACCAGTTCCCAGATCATGACCCGGAAGCTTATTAGTTATGAATGCTCAGTGCTTTCGTATGCTTGTCCCACTAGCTCTTATAACTTAATTTAACCTGCTTCTCTTCATCTGTGTTTTGCCTCGAGGCTTTTTACCTTTCTTTCCTTCTGTATGTCCTACTTCTGTCCTTCCTCTATGGCTGGCTGACTGGCTGACCCCTACCTGGCTAGCTAGCCCCTGGCTGCTCCCTGGCTGGCTGCCCCCGCCCTCAGGTCTGTGAAAGCCAGGCTTACACCCCTGGGCCTGGCCGAGAGCCGCATTCAACTGGGAGCTGCATTTAACTGCGCCAGTTCTAGGTAGTTGGTACTGGTACTGTGGCAGGTGTTTTTATTTAGCTCGTTGTTTCTACTTAATGTGCTGGCTACTCAAGTGCTCGCTGTATGGCAGAACCTCTTAAAGGAGCCGTATCCTTTTGGTTTTCGTTTTTTTTTTTTTTTTGAAACAGCAACACATCTTTACCTAGTTAAACAAATGCAGCATAAAAAAATGCAACACATCTTTACGTAGTTAAACAGATGCTCTAGTGCACATCACAGTGGAACTTACGATGGGGTACCAGTTCTCCATAGGAGCAGGTCTGACCCTGAGGGGCCCTTCCAGGATGGGGTGAAGGAACATCATTTGCTCAGCCAGTGAAGGAGGGGGCAATGAGCGCTGTTCCAGAAAGTCCTGCGTGTGACCTCATGGTATGGAAGCCTGTAACAGCCCTGAGCCTGAGGTTAACCTAGCATGTGTTTCTAGATGTTGATAGCCATGCTATAGACCATGCGTGTTGTCTTCCTCCCTTTTATGTTGTGGGCATCTGGAGATGCCTAAAGATACCTGATAAGGATAATGTTTTTTTATTTATTCTACATGTGTGTGTGTGTGCGTGTGTGCGTGTACACACGTGCATGCACACATTGCACACATGTGTGGAGGTACACATGCCTGGGTGCCACGGAAGCCAGAGGAAGACACTGGGAGTTCCCCTCCTACTCTTCACGCTGTTCCCTTGGGATAGGGATTTCTCTCTGAACCTGGAGTAGGCTGGCAGCTGTGAGTCATAGGGATCCTCCTGTCTGCAAACACCGCCCCCCTTCCAGCACTGGGGTTAACAAGTACAGGCAAGGCCATTTTTCACATGGGCATTTGGGGTTTGAACTCAGGTCATCCCACTAAGCTATCTGCCCAGCCCCCAGAATAATGTTTTAAGTGTAAAAAGAAGAATGAACAAAAACAAAACAGCCCTCAAAACTGTGAAAGAAGACAATGACAGGCATGACAGGCATGACAGGCATGACAGGCATGATGTAGAACAAGGCAGGCAGAGTGAGAGACTTAGTGATAACTGCTCCCTGTTAGCAGGATAAAGGTAGAACAAGTCCTAGGTCCAAAGTGGTCCACCTTTCCAAGTGCAGCATCTTTCGGCATCCGAAAGGCTCAGTTTTAGAACACCTTTTAGGTGTTCAAGTCCCCGGAGTAATATGTGTGGCGTTTGTGTTTAACCTCCACACACACTCCCATATACATCGAGTGATCTCCACATCACTTATAGCACCCTATAAGGCACAATTGCCTTGTAACTACTTATTGTATTGTTCAGGGGGAAATGACAAGTGGGAAAAAAGTCTATATATTTTCTGTACATTTTTCCCCAAATACTTTTGATCTTGGGTTGGTTGAATCCTTGGACACAGAGTTTGTAGGATGTGAAGTGTGGATTGTAGCAGTGTGCACAGGTGACATTTCACCGAGCAACACCAACCAGGAATGGCTTACACCCCGACAGTTGTCATTCCTTCTGGAGGGAACGCCATGCTCCAGGGAGTGAATTCTCTGGTCCAGGTTCAGCTCCGAGTTGAGGACTATGGGCCCAGAAGTGGGATGTCTCGGAAGGCCACTGCAGAAATCCAGGCAGGTGATAGGAGCTGCTAAGGCCGGGGAGGGCCACAGGGGGACAGATTAAGAGGCAGTTTAGAGTTGATGGAATGTCAGAGGTAAATATGCAGAGAGGAAGAGACAGGCAGGGCCCCTGGGTTCTTTCCTGGGGGCTTAGGGACAAGATACCTGGCGTACAACCAGAGCCGGTCTTTGGCCCTTGGTTCCTGCTGATATCTCCCTGGCTGTCTTTCAGGTCAATGAAATCTACCATGATGAGTCCCTGGGGGCCCACATCAATGTTGTGCTGGTGAGGATCATCCTTCTGAGCCATGAGAAGGTGAGTCCTCCTGTCTGTCCAATACCCCTCCTCTCTCTGGGCCACGAGAAGGTGAGTCCTCCTGTCTGATACCCCTCCTCTCTCTGGGATGAATGGGGCCCTGAAGATAAGGTTTGGCCCTTCTTTAAGATTGCTCGCTCTCAGCCAGGTGGTGGCGCACACCTTTAATCCCAGCTCTCAGGAGGCAGAGGCAGGCAGATCGCTGTGAGTTAGAGGCCAGCCTGGTCTCCAAAGCTACACAGAGAAACAAAAACCTGTCACAAAACTGTATGTGCTCTCCCATAACCACCTTGCCCTTCCCTGGGCACCCTATGATCCTATAACAAGCAAGAAACTGTGAACTTCCACCCCCGACAGGCTCCCTGTACTCTCCACCAATGGCCCGTGAGTCTTTGCTTTAAATCACAAGTTATTCAGTGGTTATTCAGTGTAGTAAGGCCAACAGACCAGTAGGCCCTACCACTGCAGAGAAACCAGAATTCTGTCTTTGAGGGGATCCCGGTTCCATATTACCAGAAACACACTCAAATGATTTGCTGTATCTATCCATGTTGCTGCCATCAGAGTTCTCAGGGATTCTTGGCTCGAGGGCCCTCCATCCATCTCTCCTCATCAGACCTCCTACCTTCAGCTCTAACAGGTCTCTCTGCTCTTGAATGCCGAGCTCTTGCCCCCTGCAGTCCTGGAGGGTGGCAGTTACTCTTCTTACCCTGACAAAATACCATTTAGGAAAGGATTTATTTCGGCTCACACACGGCGTTCCGGAGAAGTTATTAGGCTGAAGCGAGCGATGGGCTGAGAGCTGACTGAGGGGATGTTTAGTACTGAGCTCATGCTCTGTAAAGCTGCATGTTTAGAGTCATAGCGGTGACAGGGACAGAGCGAGAGTGGAGTTATGATGTCATTTGTCCTTGTCGTCAGAAGGCTGTGTCTCTGTGTAATTGGAGAACACTTTAAAATGGTGCAAGTGTTTAAGCCATGACGAAAATGTTGGCGAATTTTCTATAACTATAAACTAAAGCCTTTCCCACAGTTTGTTCCAGTGTAGCGCCCCGATTCTGATCATAAGTGAGAAGAGAATACTTACAAACTTAAAAACAACTGGACCACTTCAAAAAAGCTTTGTTTTGTGGTGGGCAGGTTCTCGCGTAGCCCAGGCTAGCCTTAAATTCACTATGTAGCCAGGGGTGACCTTGCACTTCTGATCTGTCAGCCTACATCTCCCACATTTTCAGGTTGCAGGCGTGTGCTAACCCCTGTTTTTATGTGGTGCTAGGGACTGAGTCCAGGATTTTGAGCATGCTAAGCAAGCCCTCTACCAATTGAGATAAAACCCCAGCCCTTGAAAACACTTTTTAAAATTGACTGGGAAGAATATTAGAATGGCCATTGCAGATGACTTGGTTTGGTAAGGGACTTGTGCAGCCATGGATTTGGGTGTCCAGGGTGGGAGGAAGGGCTGAAACAAAGCCCTCTCATCCAGGTTACTGTGTGACAGCTGTGTTGAAACCTACGTCACACTTCTCCTGAGGGCTGTCAACTCTACCGGGAAGATGTGGGGAGATCCTGCCATGCTGTGTGCACCCCTAACAGTCTTGTATTGATTGGTTTTTTGTCACCTTGACACAATCCAGGATGATCTGGAAAGAGGGAACCTCAGCCAAGGAAAGGTCTTTATAAGATTGGCCTACAGGCAAGTGTATAGGGCATTTCTTTGGATACATGATCGCTACGGGAGGGTCCAGCCTGCCACCCCTGTACAGGATGTCCCAGACAGTATAAGAAGTCAAGCTTAACAAGTCACGAAGAGTTAAGTCATTAAGCAGTGTTCCTCCTTGGCCTCCGCTTAAGTTCCTGTCTCCAGGTCCCTTCCTTGAGTACCTGCCCTGACGTCCCTCAGTGATCGACTGTGACCAGCCCTACTTCCCCAGCCTGGGTCACTCCAGCTCTTCCATTCTGGCCCAGATCCTCTGCTGTCTTGCTAAGTTCAGGCCTTTGGCAGGAAGGATGGCAATGAGATTCCCTCTGTTTAGTTGGGAAAGCGGATCCATACTCCTTCGTAGACATACTGCCTTTGACAGCCATGGCGCAGAGTCGCACTGAGCACAGACATGGAAAGAGGCTGATTTCAAAATACACGAACACGCATCGTGTCATGTTCTCCTTGCTTAATATGTCTTGAAATGAGTGAGACATCAGCAAACGTCGCTCACTCAAGCCAGAAATGGTGAAGTCCTTGATGTATCCCCGCTTTTGCTTTTCAAATGAAATCGACTTTAATTTTGTACAGATTTATTTTTTTTTACCTTTTTTAAAGTTTATTTTTGAGATTATAATCAAATCATTTCCTCCTTCCTTTGTCTCCCTCCAAACATTTCCATATATCCCTCCTTGCTGTCTTTCAAACTCATTGGCTCTTTTTCATTAATTGTTAGATGCATATATGTAGATACATATATATTCCTAACTATAAACTGCTCAGTCTGAATGATGATACACACATTATATATAATGTGTGTGTGTTATGAGGCTGACCATTTAGTACCAGGTAACCACTTGGTGTGCTCTTCCCAGGGAAGACTGTTTCTCCTGCTCTCAGCATTCCGCAGTTGCCTGTAGTTCTTTGAGTGGGCCGAGGCTCAGCATCTCTGTTGGTCCTCAACACTGCTCAGCTTGTGTTTGCACAGCCGTGTTGGTGAGACTTCATGGGCGCTCCTGAAATTACCAGGAGACACAGTCTCGTGGCAAATTTCTGATCCTCTGGCTCTTGCCATCTTTTAGCCCCCTCTTCTGCGATGTTCCCTGAGTCTTAGGTGTGGAGTTTCACAGACATGCCCATGGGGACTGGGTTCTACAACTCTGCTTTTTGATTGGGTGTGGGTTTTTTCATAATGTTCTCCATTCTCCCCTAATGTTCTCCATTCTCCCCTGTTTTATGGCACATATTATCTGTTCAGAAAGGGAGGAAAGCCTTCCACAGGTTGATCTGGGCATCAGGGACAGTTTTCAGTCCCTGTGTGGTCCCCACCATACTACTTAAGAGGAAAAGTTTAAAAACTGCAAGTTTCGTTGTTGAACTGTACCGAAAAGCCATAAATCTTCTCAGGCCTCAAGAGCATCTGCCTGTCTCCTAGTGTGGATACTGAATACAGGTAAGCCTTCCAGCTCTGTGCTGGAAGGAGAGAGGATAGTAGAGTGGAGAAAAGAATGCCAGGATGGAGGTAGCAGATGCTGATGCTGACATGGGGCTAAAGAGATGGTTCAGGGTTAAGATCACTTGGCAACCACGAGGACCAGAGTTTGGACATCAAATTAGGACATAATAAGCTGAATGTGTGCGCAAATGCTTGAACCCGCAGCTCCAAGGGAGATGGAGACAGGAAGGCTGCTGGGGTTTTCTGGCAATCTTATAGAGAGAGGAAAGGAGGAGGGAAGGAGAGAGAACGAGAGATACAGAGAGAGATGGAGACAGACAGAGAGATGGAGACAGAGAGAGAGATGAGATAGAGAGACAGAGAGATATAAAATAGATATAGAGACAGGGAGGGAGGGAAGGAAGGAAGGAGAGAGAGAGAAAGAGAGAGAGAGACTGACTTTACATTAATGGACTAGACAGATAATAAGATAGGAGGACACTAGCATCCCCATCTGGCCTACATATGTACAGAGGCACACATACACACATATGTACATATACATTCTCTTACCCACACATAAATAAACAAACAAATTTAAAAATCCAGATCAGGGCTAAGGATGTAGCTTGTTTGGTAGAGTGCTTGCCTGATGTGCACAGAGCCCCAGCTGTGTATGCACAGGGGTGGAGATGGGGTTTGGCATACACCCATAATCATAAGCACTGTTGAGTTAGATTGGAGGCTGGAGGATCAGGAGTTTACAGTCATCCTTGGCTATGTAGTGAGTTCAAGACCAGCCTGGGATACATGAGCCCCTGTCTCAAAAATAAATAAATGAAAGCCAGACCATGGTACAGGGCTCCGTATGTCTCTGCCATGGAGTTTGGCTTTCTTAGAGGGACCTGATCCAGTTTGCATTTCTACCAGGGTCCCTGCCCTGGGGACACTGTTGTCATTAAGGGGAAGATGTGTAGATTTGAACATAGCCTCAATGGTGGAGAAAGGAAGGCAGATAAAAAGTGTGCTGGGAGGCCACATTGAGAGCCCCTAGATGCTAGGTGGGCACAGGTAGAGAGACACTCAGCCAGGTAGATGATGCTGGACTGCTGTGGTTCACGCATTGTCACCTGAAGTCCCAATATCAAAATGTTGGTCCTCAGATGGCACTACCTGAGGTGGTGGGACCGGTGGGATGTAGGCGGCCTTTTGGTCATTGGAGTTTGCTCTCTAAAGGGGGTGCAGGGCGCTGCCTGCTGTCTGCCTCTGCTCCCATTAGAGATGTGGCCACTGGTTCCCGCCTTGGTGTGCCACCCTCATCAGAGAACATATCAGCAAGGCTCTTGGCGGTTGAACCTCCCAAAGCAATGAACTAAGCTAACCTTTTCTGTTTACAAAGCATGTCATCACAGTATGGAAAGGCTGATTGAGATACCCAAGACGGAAAACACAAGGTGAGCTGTGGCTGTAGGGAGAAGCTCGGGAGTTCAGCTAAGCCGTGCCGGGCGCTTGGTGGCCCAGTCGCGGTGGCCAGGATGGGCTAGCATATGGGCCTGGAATCCTAGGAAAACCTGGAGTGTAGAGATGGAGACGAGAATTGTTTGCACAGGGGAGTGGTCCATGCGTGGTGGCAGCTGACAAAGACCCTAGGTGAAGTGAAGACAGATGGGCAGAGCGTGGGTGACTGGGGCATGGAACATGGGAGGGTCACTTGTTCTTAACGTTTGGAGAAAGTCCTGAGAGATGATAGGTAGACAGCCAACGTTTTATTTAAAGGCGGGAAAAGAAGCGAGTTTCCCTGGTGTTCTGTGCAGCTGGATGACAATAGATACTTATGCAGGAAGTGAGGATGGACGGTGCTCCCAG